TCTGTGGGGGAAATGCAGTCGTGAACTGCTATTGTACATTTTTAATACATCTCAGATGTTTGTTACATATTTTTATATGTACGTTTTTGATATCTTCTGTGCCGTTTGGAAATATATTTGTACACACTGCCACTGATCACGAAGTGTTTGTTTGTTGACAAGCTTCCTAAACCCCAGTCTCTTCATTTCCAGCTGGAGGATGATGATTTTTTTTCCTCTAAACGTGGCCGATATAATTTAAATCCCGTTGTTGTCATTCTTAGGCCGTCTCTCTTTCTCTCACGTGCTTTGTTTGAGAAGGTTTGTAACCAGCTTATCTCTGTGTGGTCCTAATGTGCCTAGTGTTTATATGAATCCAGCTCATAAGTCCTTTTATAGGCCAATCCGCCCACATCACACAGCCAAGCCGATTACCGTGTTCACTTCTCTCCTAATGTACTTCGGTGGATTGCAGCGAGCAGCGGAATATCAGCTTTCTCTCTATTGTGGCGTGTGTTACTGACCAACAGTGTAGTGGAGGATTTCAGTTTTCCCCGTAAACTTCCTCTGATCCTCCTTTGTTGATAATGTGTGATGAGTGTGTTGAGGTTAAACACGGCCTGAACTGGACTCACTCTCTCACACACACACACACACACACACACACACAGCGAGGCCAGGTTTGAATTGGCTGCTGAATGTTTATGGTGGAGTTTTAGGTCAAAGTTCTTGGATTCAGTTAAGTTTCCACTGACGTCACCATGTAGTGCCACAATCATTGATTGACACGCTTCAGTTACTGCTACGGATAAACTACAAGCTATTGTAGATTTGTTTTGTTTTTTTGGGATTGCAATTTTTCATTTTTATCATGACAAATAATTTCCCCCTGAAATTTAAACTTAATGTAATGCTAAATAAATACAGTAATGAAAATCATACTCTCCAGACACATTTTTTAAAATTGAAATAAAAATTCAGTACAACAAATACTACCATGATATATGCTTTCAGATACTTTACAATTGAAATAATTTAGTTTATTTATTTTACATTTTCCTGAAAAAAGTATCACAAAAATGTTCTGCAGCACAACTGTTTTCAACATTGATAATAATCAGAAATGTTTCTCGAGCAGCAGATCAGCATATTATACTGATTTCTGAAGATCATGTGACACTGAAGACTGGAGGAATGATGCTGAAAATACAGCTGCGCATCACAGAAATAAATTAAAGTTTACAATATATTCACATAGAAAACAGCTATTTTAAATTGTAATATTTCACAATTTTATTTATTTATTTATTTTTTAAAATAAATGCACCCTTGGTGAGCAGAAGAGACTTCTTTCAAAAAACCTTTGCCCTGCTGTGTATATATATATAACCACAATAACATTTTGGAATCTTTATTCAATATTTATTAGATTAATATTTATTTGAATTAACATGTATTTTACAAAAAAACTAAAAATAAATAAATAAATTCGCTAGGTTTAACTAGCACAATGAAATGCAGATCAAATAAATGCTACATTGCTAAGCATGACACCTTCAAAAACAAACTTTTTAATTATATTGTATGCTTTTATTTTATTTTATAATGTTTAACCTTATATGTGTGTGTGTGTGTGTGTGTCTGTGTCTGTCTGTGTGTGTGTGTGTCTGTGTCTGTGTGCGTGTCTGTGTAAAAATTCAGTACAACAAATACTACCATGATATATGCTTTCAGATACTTTACAATTGAAATAATTTAGTTTATTTATTTTACATTTTCCTGAAAAAAGTATCACAAAAATGTTCTGCAGCACAACTGTTTTCAACATTGATAATAATCAGAAATGTTTCTCGAGCAGCAGATCAGCATATTATACTGATTTCTGAAGATCATGTGACACTGAAGACTGGAGGAATGATGCTGAAAATACAGCTGCGCATCACAGAAATAAATTAAAGTTTACAATATATTCACATAGAAAACAGCTATTTTAAATTGTAATATTTCACAATTTTATTTATTTATTTATTTTTTAAAATAAATGCACCCTTGGTGAGCAGAAGAGACTTCTTTCAAAAAACCTTTGCCCTGCTGTGTATATATATATAACCACAATAACATTTTGGAATCTTTATTCAATATTTATTAGATTAATATTTATTTGAATTAACATGTATTTTACAAAAAAACTAAAAATAAATAAATAAATTCGCTAGGTTTAACTAGCACAATGAAATGCAGATCAAATAAATGCTACATTGCTAAGCATGACACCTTCACAAACAAAACTTTTTAATTATATTGTATGCTTTTATTTTATTTTATAATGTTTAACCTTATATGTGTGTGTGTGTGTGTGTGTGTGTGTCTGTGTCTGTCTGTGTGTGTGTGTGTCTGTGTGT